TTGGGAATTTCCTCTAAAGTTACTAATTTCGGAGGGGGCTCTCTTGCTTTAAGGTACTGTTGTTATATACCGCTGTGGATTTTATGTATCTTTTAGTCTCACGCTGTAGGGATATATCACTTTTGGATTTCCCCTATAGTTTATATTGCCAAACGAGACATATAGCCTCCCAGAGAGTCTGTACAGAAGGGTCGGCTACATAGCTCTATACCCGTTTGTGCTTCTTCGTGAATCTCTTTTCCACCAGTGAGCTATCTTGGTTTACTCTATTGAGGCACTATTTATATTGACCACAGTTTAACTCCAGTACCATATCGGCATTTCTACTATCGCTAGGTACCACGATCCCAGCTATATATATTACTTACGGATTTTACCGTTGTTTGTGTGACTTGGTTTATTTAATTTTCATCTTTTGTATGGAGCAGTCTGTACTTATGTTCCGTTTCTCTTATATATTGGTCTTCATATCGGATGTCCGTATAGTCTTACTTGGTCCTCTTTAGAGGCCTCACTACTATTTATTTTAGCGGACTCTATACGTATGTGCACATACAATATATATATCATTTTCTATGAGATTAAGGAACATACCCCAGGTTTTTAATTCCTCACCGTTATGTGATTTTCACTAACACAACTTTCTATGGTGTTTCTATCTAGGGTAAGCTTTATACCTATTATATATATTTTCTTTGCTTAATTTTAGTTTAATAAAGGTTATTACCATTTTCTTTGTTACGTTTACTTTAGGAGGTAATCTTCTAGAGTGAGATTGAATCCCATATTTATATAATTATTTATGTAATTTTGTATATGGACATATGTATATTTCGTATTATTTTTATTTATTTATATACACATAGATATATATATACAATTTCATTCTAAGTGTATTTTGATATAATATATATATTAGTATCAAAATACAGTTAGAATAAAATTTCATATAGATATATAATTTGTTTTAAATTTTTTATTCTTTTTACATTTTTTAATTTAATTTAAATTGCTTATTATTTGTATTTTATAATATATATATATATATATATATATATATATACAATATATGTAGTTATTATGTATATTATATACGTGTGTAATTTAATTATAAGTGTATTTTTATATTAATATAAGTACATATTAATATAAAAATACACTTAGTATGACATTATATATATGATATATAGACATATATTATATAGATATAATAAATGTCCATATATCATATTAATATACACATATATAATTTTTTTTAATTAACATTAACTTTTATTTTTATAATGATTTTACACTAGCAGGGAGACTGCCTGTCAGCCCAGACAGTCCCCCTGCAGGCAGTTACTAGGACACCAATTGTGACCATGTGATCGCTCTGTTGAGCGATCACATGGCCCCAGGGGTCCTAATCCGCGATGGGGAGACTGTCTGGGCTGCAGGTAGTCTCCCCACAAATGGGAGCAATGCCAATTGCCGCCGGGGGAACGACGGCGATCAGGTAAGTACATAAGACCATTAGGACGGTTCAGGTCTTGGCTCATAGGTAGCATTTGTTCGCCTTGTTCGTGCGAACAAACCTAGCGAACAGCGCTCTCGCGGAAAGAAGCAGGCGTTTGTATGGTTTTACTGGTGTTCGCGAGGTCGAGTGTCCGACTTAGAGTTCCATACACTTGACGTCCAAGTCCTGTTGCTTGCGTTCGTCAACACAGAAAGAGCACTTAAGTCTGTGGTTTCTTTGCAGTTAAGGAGCCAGGGGGGTGGTCGGTGTTTGGTAGATTTATCTAACACTGGGAAAGTGTTTTGGTTGGGATATGTTATAAATGAGACATTTGCAATTTGTTTCATTACGAATGTGAATTTGGGCAATTCGGACATTTGGATGCTTCCCAAATGTCCAAAGTGCCGAATTTCGGAAGTGTCCAACCGAACAAAATTGCTAAAGTGCCGAATTTTGGAAGTGCAGAATTGCTTTGGATTTCTGGAAAGTGGCAAAACAAGAGAGGGAGAGAAAATTACGTGAATGATGACAGGGGTAGAGTTAGGGGTTGGGTTAAGGGTTAGGGATTTTGTTAGGGGTAGGAGTAGGGTTAGGGTAAATTTAGGGTTAGGGTTAGGGTTAGGGTAAGTTTAGGGTGAGGGGTAGGGTTAGGTTAGGCTTAGGGTGAGGGGTAGGGTTAGGTTAGGCTAATGGTGAGGGGTAGGGTTAGGGTAGCATTACGTCTACGGGTAGGGTAGGGGTAGGGTAGGGGTAGTGTTCAGGGTAGGGTTAGGGTTAAGGTTAAGGTTAGGGAGCACTGCAGATGTTCCGAATTCTTAAGTCCCGAATTGCTGAAGTGCCGAATTGCTAAAGTGCCGAATTCTTTTTCTTACCCGAATTTCCAAACCAAATCGAATTTTTGGATCATGCACATCCCTATTCTAACATTAATATTAATGAGAAAGAATGCATTGGGAAAGCTGCATACGTGGGTAACATGTTACTTATTGGAGATTTTAATTACCCGGACATAAATTGGGATAGAGGGACTAGTACTTCAGCAAGGTGAATCAGGTTTTTGAATGTGTTTAATCACACCTTCATGTCACAACTGGTACAAGCACCAACTAGAAAGGAAGCTTGTCTGGAACTGGTTATAACAAAAAGTGTTGATCTTTTGACCAACATTCAAGTAGAGGAGCATTTGGAAAATAGTGATCACAATATCCTGTTTTTTTTAAATAGACTCAAAAAAGCAAAAGCACGTGGAGGTATTTTAAACCGTATATTTTTGAAAATCCAATTTCAATAAGATTAGGGCAGCTCTACAACATATTCACTGGCATAAACTCCTAAGTGAAAAAACAAAACAAAACACAGGATAAATGGAATATCTTCATACAAATATTAGAAAGGTAAATTTTTCAGTATGTACCATTAGGTAATAAATATAAAAATAAACAAATTAAAACCAATGTGGCTTAGTAGGGAAGCAAAACAAGAGATTCAAAATAAGAAAAGGGCATTCAAAGCATTTCAGAAAGAAAATGAATATAAATAAAGCTCCAGGGCCTGACGGTATTCACCAACGAGTACTTAAGGAGCTAAGTGTGGAAATAAAACCTCTGTTTTTAATTTTTCAAGATTCTTTTCTTTAAGGAATTGTACTGGAGGATTGGAAGAAGGCAGATGTCGTTCCTATATTTAAAAAGGTGTTCAAAATCCTTGCATGGAAATTAGAGACCTGTGGACTTAAAGGGACACTGTAGGACTCAGACCACTTAAGCTCATTGAAGTGGTCTGGGTGCAATGTCCCATATCCCTTAACCCTACAGTGGTAATTTTTGAAGTTTCAGAGAAACTGCAACAATTAATTCTGAGGGTTAACTCCTCTAGTGGGTGTCTAGGGTTAACTCCTCCTCTAGTGCACCCAGAAGTGGTCTGGGTGCAATGTCCCATATCCTGTAACCCTGCAGTGGTACTTATTGTAGCAACTTGAGGGACTTCTAGAATCGAAATGGACCTTTGGAATAATGCTTTCTAAAGATACAAATGCGAGCGCGGCCATTGACGTCGGTAGGGGATGAGCATGGGCAGAGCCTGACCCAGCACCGAGGGACATCAGTGCTGCATTCAGGTAAGTGACTGAAGGGGTTTTAACTTTGGGCACTGTAGGATTTTACAGTGCCAGGAAAATGGCCTTGTTTTCCTGGCACTATAGAATTCCTTTAACTTCTGTGACTGGGAAAGTATTTGAAGGGCTATTAAGGAATAATATTCAGGAATTCAGTTGGAAGAATTTTGTTTTTAGCAATAATCAACATGGTCTTATGAAACATAGGTCATGTCAAACTAGCTTAATTGCATTCTATGAAGAAATGAGCAGAAGTATAGATCAGGGTTTTGCAGTGCATGTGATCTACTTGGATTTTGCCAAGGCATTTTTTATACGGTTCCTCATAATAGGTTAATGTTCAAACTAAGAGAAATTGGTCTAGATGAATATTCTTGTTCTTGGGTAGAGTACAACGAGTTTTCATTAATGGTACATTTTCAAAAATGGTAAGTGGTGTCCCTCAGGGATCTGTTTTGGGACCGCTTCTATTTAACATATGTATAAATTATCTTGAAATAGGCATTGAAAGCCATGTTTTAGTGTTTGCAGATGACATAAAACTTTGTAAAGTAATAAAATGTGAGCAGGATATTGTTTTGCTGCAGAGGGATTTGGATAGATTGGGACACTAGGCACTAAAATGGCAGATGCAATTTAATGTAGAGAAATGCAAAGTTATGCACTTAGGGGTAAAGAATGCACAAATTACACGCTAAATGGTAGTAAATTAGGGATAACCACACACAAGGATTTGGGAATTGTTATAGACAACAAGTAAGGCCAGTAAGGTTTTGTCATGGATAAATAAGGGCATAAATTCTCATAGTGCAAATATAATTTTGCCTCTTTATAAATCACTGACAAGACCACACTTTGAATATGCTGTACAATTTTTGGCACCTGTTCTAAACAAGGACATCATGGCACTAGAAAAAGTGCAGAGACGGGCTACAAAATTGATAAAAGTAATGGGGCATTTTAGTTACGAAGAAAGGTTAAACAATTCAAATCTCTTTAGTTTGGAAAAACTGTGCTTCGGAGGGGATATGACAAATATGTTCGGGGCTAGTACAAACCATTATCTTAAAATCTATTCATAAACAGGGCTATACATAGGACACAAGGTCACGCATTTAAGCTGTAAGAAAGGAGATTAGTCTAAGGTAAAGAATGGGGGTTATTCCCTATGTATAGACTTGATTATTTATTTTAACATTGCTAATATATTCTAAATTAAGATTGATTAAAAAGGATGTGTTACTATTCCTCCAACAAAAACAGTATTCTGAATATTATTAAAAATGTTGGGTTTTGTGATAACTTGCTAATACTTATGCATTCATGTTTTCCATACAATAATGCTAATATAATATAATCATTTCAGGGACCATCAGTATAATTTCCATAATGACAGAACCCAATGTGGCCACCACGATTACAGGAAAACCAACAACCAATGTATCAGAACAAGACACAAGCAGTATATCATCCCTACCTCCAGAACAAGGAGCAGGTCTAATTCCAAAAACTATTGCAAATGAAACCACAAGCTTCACGTCTGTAAGTTCTCCAGGAACGAACACAGAAAGTACTTATTCTTCCTTTGAAGCCATAATTTCTACAGCTGTGCAAGGAATGACAAATTCTACATCAACAACTAAGCCTGTTGACAAACCAGATTATTCATCAATTACTACATCAGAAGAGACAACAGGATTCATTAGTTCAACTGAAACATCTACAGAGGAAACCTTTCTCAAAAATATAACATCAGAACAGGTTACACATACAGAATTATCAACAGCTGATGTAAGAACAATTTATACTGTAAATACTACTACAAAAGAGAGGACAACCTATAATGTAACCACTACTTCTGATATTCTCACTGATGCTACACTTTCCTCAACAGCCCATAATATCCCAAACCAAACAAGCTCTTTGCTGCAGAAAACCACAACTATTACAGCAAACGATATGGAACCGGTCACCTCAGCTTCTGAAGTAACATTTACAACAAAAGAAAATAACACATTTACAAATACAGCTAAACCACAGACAAAAAATACCCTAGCGACAGCCAATTCATCAGAAAAAACTTCAAGCAATATACCAACAATTTCAGAAGATGTAAGTTACGATGAAAAAAGTACTCCAATAAAAGCAACTTTAGCAAGGGTTACACCAGAAGTTCTCGCAAATAGTGCAATTACCTCGGCATCCCATGATACCACAACTGCTGAAGTACCAGCTACAATTCAAGAAATCGGAAATTCTATAGTGACAACACTGGCAGATATAACATCTGACTCTACAGAAATAAATACATCAATAAAAAAAACAGTAACTACATCTGAAACACAGACAAAGGAAGGTTTCACAACAACCATTACATCTGAACCAAATACAAACCAGAGAGGATCAACGTTATCAGTGGCCATTACAAATTTTTTTAAAGCCACTACTAGTAAGGAGCAAACAAGCTCAAACTTAGATACAGATCAAGAGGTTTTCACTGACATATTTACTTCCACATCACATGACACCACAAGGGCTTTAAAAGCTACGACCTCAACATTAACCGCTCTACAAAATATGAACTCAAGTGATATTGCAGAAAGTATTCTATCAGAGAAGGTCAAAGAACATTTTACCCAAGTAACATCCGATTCAGAAAGGGGTGTAACAAGTTCTTCTATTAAAAACACTCCATTACAGACAAACACTTTAAACAATACTAGTATTTTAGACGTTCTCACAAAATTTGAAAGTACCTCTATACCTCCTGATACCACAGCTGGGGAGTTCACAACATCAATTGCTACAGCTGAGGTGCACACAAAGGAAGTTTTCTCAACAATCATTAGATCAGAGCAGGTTTCTACAAGTAGTGAGTCTAGTTCAGAAACTACAATCACAAATATTGTTACTATGACTACTCCAAAGGTGACTGCAAGCGCCACAGACACCCTTTTGTTTACATCTAATGATGCCACAACTGTTTCAGAAACCTCTGTCCCTAAAAGAACAACATCCTCCACTTCAAACTCTGGGCCAAATGTCATTTCTCTTGTAGCAGAAGAAACGACATCATCAGAAACGTTAGTGGAAAGTTTAACAATCTCTTTTGCATCCGAACATAATGCAAGTACTAAAACTTCAGATTCAGAAGGCCATGTAACAAGTCCATCAATTACAAACAGTCCATTACAGACAACATCTTTAACCAATACTAGTATACCAGAGATTCTCACAAAATTTGACAGTACCTCTATACCCCCTGATACTACAGCTGCTGAGGTAACATCTACAATTCAAGAAATTAAAAATGTTACAGCCACCACTTTGGATGGTATAACATCAGGTTCTATAGAATCTCAAACATCAGTGGAGTCCACAACATCAATTGCTACAGCTGAGATGCACACAACGGAAGGTTTCTCAACAATCATTACATCAGAGCAGGTTTCTACAAGAAGTGAGTCTAGTTCAGCAACAGCAATCACAAATATTGTTACTATGACTACTCCAGAGGTGCCTGCAAGCTCCACAGATGAATTTTCTTTTACATCTCATGATTCCACAAGTGGTTCAAAAACCTCTCTTCCAAAGAGAACAACAACCTCTACTTTAACCTCTGGGCCTAATCTTAACTCTATTGCTGCAGTGGAAACTACGTTACCAGAAAATTTGCAGGAAAACTTTACAACTTCCATAACATCAGAACATGTTACTACAGGTAGAGAGTCAAGTTCAGAAACAGCAATCACAAATATTGTTAGTATGACTACTCCAAAGGTGACTCCAAGCTCCACAGACATATCTTCTTTCCCATCCCATGAAGCTGCAAGTGTTTCAGAAACCGCTGTTCCTAATAAAACAACAACCTCTACTTCAACCCCTGGTCCTAATGTAATTTCTACTGCATCAGAAGAAACTACTTTATCACAAAAGTTGGTGGAAAGTTTTACAACATCTTTTGCATCCGAACATTCTTCAAGCACTGTAACATCAGATTCAGAAGGCGGTGTAACAAGCTCATCAATTACAAACACTCCATTACAGACAACCACGTTAATCCCTACTAGCACACCACGGGTTCTCACAAAAGTTGACATTATCTCCATACCCCCTGATGCTACAACTGCTGAGATAACATCTACAATTCAAGAAATCAAAAATTCTACAGCCACCACGTTGGCTGGTATAACACCAGGTTCTACAGATTCTCAAACACCAGTGGAGTCCACAGCATCAATTGCTACAGCTGAGAAACGCACAACGGAAGGTTTCTCAACAACCATTACATCAGAAAAGATACCTACAAGTATTGAGCCAAGTTCAGAAACAGCAATCACAAATATTGTTACTATGAATACTGCAAAGGTGCATGCAAGCTCTACAGATGAATTTTCTTTTACAACTCATGATGCCACAAGTGCTTTAGAACCCTCTCTTTCCAAAAGACCAACAACCTCTACTTTAACCCCTGGGTCTAATGTTATCTCTACTGCTGCAGAGGAAACTACGTCACCAGACAATTCGCAGGAAAACTTTACAACCTCCATAGCCTCAGAACATATTTCAAGCCATGTAACATCAGATTCAGAAGTGGGTGTAACAAGTTCTTCTATTACAAACACTCCATTACAGACAAACACTTTAAACAATACTAGTACATTAGACGTTCTCACAAAATTTGAAAGTACCTCTATACCCCCTGATACCACAGCTGCTGAGGTAACATCTACAATTCAAGAAATTAAAAATGTTACAGCCACCACTTTGGCTGGTATAACATCAGGTTCTATAGAATCTCAAACATCAGTGGAGTCCACCACATCAATTGCTACAGCTGAGATGCACACAACGGAAGGTTTCTCAACAACCAGTACATCAGAGCAGGTTTCTACAAGTAGTGAGTCTAGTTCAGCAACAGCAATCACAAATATTGTTACTATGACTACTCCAGAGGTGCCTGCAAGCTCCACAGATGAATTTTCTTTTACCTCTCATGATTCCACAAGTGGTTCAAAAACCTCTCTTCCAAAGAGAACAACAACCTCTACTTTAACCTCTGGGCCTAATCTTAACTCTATTGCTGCAGTGGAAACTACGTTACCAGAAAATTTGCAGGAAAACTTTACAACTTCCATAACATCAGAACATGTTACTACAGGTAGAGAGTCAAGTTCAGAAACAGCAATCACAAATATTGTTAGTATGACTACTCCAAAGGTGACTCCAAGCTCCACAGACATATCTTCTTTCCCATCCCATGAAGCTGCAAGTGTTTCAGAAACCGCTGTTCCTAATAAAACAACAACCTCTACTTCAACCCCTGGTCCTAATGTAATTTCTACTGCATCAGAAGAAACTACTTTATCACAAAAGTTGGTGGAAAGTTTTACAACGTCTTTTGCATCCGAACATTCTTCAAGCACTGTAACATCAGATTCAGAAGGCGGTGTAACAAGCTCATCAATTACAAACACTCCATTACAGACAACCACGTTAATCCCTACTAGCACACCACGGGTTCTCACAAAAGTTGACATTATCTCCATACCCCCTGATGCTACAACTGCTGAGATAACATCTACAATTCAAGAAATCAAAAATTCTACAGCCACCACGTTGGCTGGTATAACACCAGGATCTACAGATTCTCAAACACCAGTGGAGTCCACAGCATCAATTGCTACAGCTGAGAAACGCACAACGGAAGGTTTCTCAACAACCATTACATCAGAAAAGATACCTACAAGTATTGAGCCAAGTTCAGAAACAGCAATCACAAATATTGTTACTATGAATACTGCAAAGGTGCATGCAAGCTCTACAGATGAATTTTCTTTTACAACTCATGATGCCACAAGTGCTTTAGAACCCTCTCTTTCCAAAAGACCAACAACCTCTACTTTAACCCCTGGGTCTAATGTTATCTCTACTGCTGCAGAGGAAACTACGTCACCAGACAATTCGCAGGAAAACTTTACAACCTCCATAGCCTCAGAACATATTTCAACCCATGTAACATCAGATTCAGAAGTGGGTGTAACAAATTCTTCTATTACAAACACTCCATTTCAGACAAACACTTTAAACAATACTAGTACATTAGACGTTCTCACAAAATTTGAAAGTACCTCCATACCCCCTGATACCACAGCTGCTGAGGTAACATCTACAATTCAAGAAATTAAAAATGTTACAGCCACCACTTTGGCTGGTATAACATCAGGTTCTATAGAATCTCAAACATCAGTGGAGTCCACCACATCAATTGCTACAGCTGAGATGCACACAACGGAAGGTTTCTCAACAACCATTACATCAGAGCAGGTTTCTACAAGAAGTGAGTCTAGTTCAGCAACAGCAATCACAAATATTGTTACTATGACTACTCCAGAGGTGCCTGCAAGCTCCACAGATGAATTTTCTTTTACATCTCATGATTCCACAAGTGGTTCAAAAACCTCTCTTCCGAAGAGAACAACAACCTCTACTTTAACCTCTGGGCCTAATCTTAACTCTATTGCTGCAGTGGAAACTACGTTACCAGAAAATTTGCAGGAAAACTTTACAACTTCCATAACATCAGAACATGTTACTACAGGTAGAGAGTCAAGTTCAGAAACAGCAATCACAAATATTGTTAGTATGACTACTCCAAAGGTGACTCCAAGCTCCACAGACATATCTTCTTTCCCATCCCATGAAGCTGCAAGTGTTTCAGAAACCGCTGTTCCTAATAAAACAACAACCTCTACTTCAACCCCTGGTCCTAATGTAATTTCTACTGCATCAGAAGAAACTACTTTATCACAAAAGTTGGTGGAAAGTTTTACAACGTCTTTTGCATCCGAACATTCTTCAAGCACTGTAACATCAGATTCAGAAGGCGGTGTAACAAGCTCATCAATTACAAACACTCCATTACAGACAACCACGTTAATCCCTACTAGCACACCATGGGTTCTCACAAAAGTTGACATTATCTCCATACCCCCTGATGCTACAATTGCTGAGATAACATCTACAATTCAAGAAATCAAAAATTCTACAGCCACCACGTTGGCTGGTATAACACCAGGTTCTACAGATTCTCAAACACCAGTGGAGTCCACAGCATCAATTGCTACAGCTGAGAAACGCACAACGGAAGGTTTCTCAACAACCATTACATCAGAAAAGATACCTACAAGTATTGAACCAAGTTCAGAAACAGCAATCACAAATATTGTTACTATGAATACTGCAAAGGTGCATGCAAGCTCTACAGATGAATTTTCTTTTACAACTCATGATGCCACAAGTGCTTTAGAACCCTCTCTTTCCAAAAGACCAACAACCTCTACTTTAACCCCTGGGTCTAATGTTATCTCTACTGCTGCAGAGGAAACTACGTCACCAGACAATTCGCAGGAAAACTTTACAACCTCCATAGCCTCAGAACATATTTCAACCCATGTAACATCAGATTCAGAAGTGGGTGTAACAAATTCTTCTATTACAAACACTCCATTTCAGACAAACACTTTAAACAATACTAGTACATTAGACGTTCTCACAAAATTTGAAAGTACCTCTATACCCCCTGATACCACAGCTGCTGAGGTAACATCTACAATTCAAGAAATTAAAAATGTTACAGCCACCACTTTGGCTGGTATAACATCAGGTTCTATAGAATCTCAAACATCAGTGGAGTCCACCACATCAATTGCTACAGCTGAGATGCACACAACGGAAGGTTTCTCAACAACCATTACATCAGAGCAGGTTTCTACAAGAAGTGAGTCTAGTTCAGCAACAGCAATCACAAATATTGTTACTATGACTACTCCAGAGGTGCCTGCAAGCTCCACAGATGAATTTTCTTTTACATCTCATGATTCCACAAGTGGTTCAAAAACCTCTCTTCCGAAGAGAACAACAACCTCTACTTTAACCTCTGGGCCTAATCTTAACTCTATTGCTGCAGTGGAAACTACGTTACCAGAAAATTTGCAGGAAAACTTTACAACTTCCATAACATCAGAACATGTTACTACAGGTAGAGAGTCAAGTTCAGAAACAGCAATCACAAATATTGTTAGTATGACTACTCCAAAGGTGACTCCAAGCTCCACAGACATATCTTCTTTCCCATCCCATGAAGCTGCAAGTGTTTCAGAAACCGCTGTTCCTAATAAAACAACAACCTCTACTTCAACCCCTGGTCCTAATGTAATTTCTACTGCATCAGAAGAAACTACTTTATCACAAAAGTTGGTGGAAAGTTTTACAACGTCTTTTGCATCCGAACATTCTTCAAGCACTGTAACATCAGATTCAGAAGGCGGTGTAACAAGCTCATCAATTACAAACACTCCATTACAGACAACCACGTTAATCCCTACTAGCACACCACGGGTTCTCACAAAAGTTGACATTATCTCCATACCCCCTGATGCTACAACTGCTGAGATAACATCTACAATTCAAGAAATCAAAAATTCTACAGCCACCACGTTGGCTGGTATAACACCAGGTTCTACAGATTCTCAAACACCAGTGGAGTCCACAGCATCAATTGCTACAGCTGAGAAACGCACAACGGAAGGTTTCTCAACAACCATTACATCAGAAAAGATACCTACAAGTATTGAACCAAGTTCAGAAACAGCAATCACAAATATTGTTACTATGAATACTGCAAAGGTGCATGCAAGCTCTACAGATGAATTTTCTTTTACAACTCATGATGCCACAAGTGCTTTAGAACCCTCTCTTTCCAAAAGACCAACAACCTCTACTTTAACCCCTGGGTCTAATGTTATCTCTACTGCTGCAGAGGAAACTACGTCACCAGACAATTCGCAGGAAAACTTTACAACCTCCATAGCCTCAGAACATATTTCAAGCCATGTAACATCAGATTCAGAAGTGGGTGTAACAAGTTCTTCTATAACAAACACTCCATTACAGACAAACACTTTAAACAATACTAGTACATTAGACGTTCTCACAAAATTTGAAAGTACCTCTATACCCCCTGATACCACAGCTGCTGAGGTAACATCTACAATTCAAGAAATTAAAAATGTTACAGCCACCACTTTGGCTGGTATAACATCAGGTTCTATAGAATCTCAAACATCAGTGGAGTCCACCACATCAATTGCTACAGCTGAGATGCACACAACGGAAGGTTTCTCAACAACCATTACATCAGAGCAGGTTTCTACAAGTAGTGAGTCTAGTTCAGCAACAGCAATCACAAATATTGTTACTATGACTACTCCAGAGGTGCCTGCAAGCTCCACAGATGAATTTTCTTTTACCTCTCATGATTCCACAAGTGGTTCAAAAACCTCTCTTCCAAAGAGAACAACAACCTCTACTTTAACCTCTGGGCCTAATCTTAACTCTATTGCTGCAGTGGAAACTACGTTACCAGAAAATTTGCAGGAAAACTTTACAACTTCCATAACATCAGAACATGTTACTACAGGTAGAGAGTCAAGTTCAGAAACAGCAATCACAAATATTGTTAGTATGACTACTCCAAAGGAGACTCCAAGCTCCACAGACATATCTTCTTTCCCATCCCATGAAGCTGCAAGTGTTTCAGAAACCGCTGTTCCTAATAAAACAACAACCTCTACTTCAACCCCTGGTCCTAATGTAATTTCTACTGCATCAGAAGAAACGACTTTATCACAAAAGTTGGTGGAAAGTTTTACAACGTCTTTTGCATCCGAACATTCTTCAAGAACTGTAACATCAGATTCAGAAGGCGGTGTAACAAGCTCATCAATTACAAACACTCCATTACAGACAACCATGTTAATCCCTACTAGCACACCACGGGTTCTCACAAAAGTTGACATTATCTCCATACCCCCTGATGCTACAACTGCTGAGATAACATCTACAATTCAAGAAATCAAAAATTCTACAGCCACCACGTTGGCTGGTATAACACCAGGATCTACAGATTCTCAAACACCAGTGGAGTCCACAGCATCAATTGCTACAGCTGAGAAACGCACAACGGAAGGTTTCTCAACAACCATTACATCAGAAAAGATACCTACAAGTATTGAGCCAAGTTCAGAAACAGCAATCACAAATATTGTTACTATGAATACTGCAAAGGTGCATGCAAGCTCTACAGATGAATTTTCTTTTACAACTCATGATGCCACAAGTGCTTTAGAACCCTCTCTTTCCAAAAGACCAACAACCTCTACTTTAACCCCTGGGTCTAATGTTATCTCTACTGCTGCAGAGGAAACTACGTCACCAGACAATTTGCAGGAAAACTTTACAACCTCCATAGCCTCAGAACATATTTCAACCCATGTAACATCAGATTCAGAAGTGGGTGTAACAAATTCTTCTATTACAAACACTCCATTTCAGACAAACACTTTAAACAATACTAGTACATTAGACGTTCTCACAAAATTTGAAAGTACCTCTATACCCCCTGATACCACAGCTGCTGAGGTAACATCTACAATTCAAGAAATTAAAAATGTTACAGCCACCACTTTGGCTGGTATAACATCAGGTTCTATAGAATCTCAAACATCAGTGGAGTCCACCACATCAATTGCTACAGCTGAGATGCACACAACGGAAGGTTTCTCAACAACCATTACATCAGAGCAGGTTTCTACAAGAAGTGAGTCTAGTTCAGCAACAGCAATCACAAATATTGTTACTATGACTACTCCAGAGGTGCCTGCAAGCTCCACAGATGAATTTTCTTTTACATCTCATGATTCCACAAGTGGTTCAAAAACCTCTCTTCCGAAGAGAACAACAACCTCTACTTTAACCTCTGGGCCTAATCTTAACTCTATTGCTGCAGTGGAAACTACGTTACCAGAAAATTTGCAGGAAAACTTTACAACTTCCATAACATCAGAACATGTTACTACAGGTAGAGAGTCAAGTTCAGAAACAGCAATCACAAATATTGTTAGTATGACTACTCCAAAGGTGACTCCAAGCTCCACAGACATATCTTCTTTCCCATCCCATGAAGCTGCAAGTGTTTCAGAAACCGCTGTTCCTAATAAAACAACAACCTCTACTTCAACCCCTGGTCCTAATGTAATTTCTACTGCATCAGAAGAAACTACTTTATCACAAAAGTTGGTGGAAAGTTTTACAACGTCTTTTGCATCCGAACATTCTTCAAGCACTGTAACATCAGATTCAGAAGGCGGTGTAACAAGCTCATCAATTACAAACACTCCATTACAGACAACCACGTTAATCCCTACTAGCACACCATGGGTTCTCACAAAAGTTGACATTATCTCCATACCCCCTGATGCTACAATTGCTGAGATAACATCTACAATTCAAGAAATCAAAAATTCTACAGCCACCACGTTGGCTGGTATAACACCAGGTTCTACAGATTCTCAAACACCAGTGGAGTCCACAGCATCAATTGCTACAGCTGAGAAACGCACAACGGAAGGTTTCTCAACAACCATTACATCAGAAAAGATACCTACAAGTATTGAGCCAAGTTCAGAAACAGCAATCACAAATATTGTTACTATGAATACTGCAAAGGTGCATGCAAGCTCTACAGATGAATTTTCTTTTACAACTCATGATGCCACAAGTGCTTTAGAACCCTCTCTTTCCAAAAGACCAACAACCTCTACTTTAACCCCTGGGTCTAATGTTATCTCTACTGCTGCAGAGGAAACTACGTCACCAGACAATTCGCAGGAAAACTTTACAACCTCCATAGCCTCAGAACATATTTCAACCCATGTAACATCAGATTCAGAAGTGGGTGTAACAAATTCTTCTATTACAAACACTCCATTTCAGACAAACACTTTAAACAATACTAGTACATTAGACGTTCTCACAAAATTTGAAAGTACCTCCATACCCCCTGATACCACAGCTGCTGAGGTAACATCTACAATTCAAGAAATTAAAAATGTTACAGCCACCACTTTGGCTGGTATAACATCAGGTTCTATAGAATCTCAAACATCAGTGGAGTCCACCACATCAATTGCTACAGCTGAGATGCACACAACGGAAGGTTTCTCAACAACCATTACATCAGAGCAGGTTTCTACAAGAAGTGAGTCTAGTTCAGCAACAGCAATCACAAATATTGTTACTATGACTACTCCAGAGGTGCCTGCAAGCTCCACAGATGAATTTTCTTTTACATCTCATGATTCCACAAGTGGTTCAAAAACCTCTCTTCCGAAGAGAACAACAACCTCTACTTTAACCTCTGGGCCTAATCTTAACTCTATTGCTGCAGTGGAAACTACGTTACCAGAAAATTTGCAGGAAAACTTTACAACTTCCATAACATCAGAACATGTTACTACAGGTAGAGAGTCAAGTTCAGAAACAGCAATCACAAATATTGTTAGTATGACTACTCCAAAGGTGACTCCAAGCTCCACAGACATATCTTCTTTCCCATCCCATGAAGCTGCAAGTGTTTCAGAAACCGCTGTTCCTAATAAAACAACAACCTCTACTTCAACCCCTGGTCCTAATGTAATTTCTACTGCATCAGAAGAAACTACTTTATCACAAAAGTTGGTGGAAAGTTTTACAACGTCTTTTGCATCCGAACATTCTTCAAGCACTGTAACATCAGATTCAGAAGGCGGTGTAACAAGCTCATCAATTACAAACACTCCATTACAGACAACCACGTTAATCCCTACTAGCACACCATGGGTTCTCACAAAAGTAGACATTATCTCCATACCCCCTGATGCTACAATTGCTGAGATAACATCTACAATTCAAGAAATCAAAAATTCTACAGCCACCACGTTGGCTGGTATAACACCAGGTTCTACAGATTCTCAAACACCAGTGGAGTCCACAGCATCAATTGCTACAGCTGAGAAACGCACAACGGAAGGTTTCTCAACAACCATTACATCAGAAAAGATACCTACAAGTATTGAACCAAGTTCAGAAACAGCAATCACAAATATTGTTACTATGAATACTGCAAAGGTGCATGCAAGCTCTACAGATGAATTTTCTTTTACAACTCATGATGCCACAAGTGCTTTAGAACCCTCTCTTTCCAAAAGACCAACAACCTCTACTTTAACCCCTGGGTCTAATGTTATCTCTACTGCTGCAGAGGAAACTACGTCACCAGAAAATTCGCAGGAAAACTTTACAACCTCCATAGCCTCAGAACATATTTCAAGCCATGTAACATCAGATTCAGAAGTGGGTGTAACAAGTTCTTCTATTACAAACACTCCATTACAGACAAACACTTTAAACAATACTAGTACATTAGACGTTCTCACAAAATTTGAAAGTACCTCTATACCCCCTGATACCACAGCTGCTGAGGTAACATCTACAATTCAAGAAATTAAAAATGTTACAGCCACCACTTTGGCTGGTATAACATCAGGTTCTATAGAATCTCAAACATCAGTGGAGTCCACCACATCAATTGCTACAGCTGAGATGCACACAACGGAAGGTTTCTCAACAACCATTACATCAGAGCAGGTTTCTACAAGAAGTGAGTCTAGTTCAGCAACAGCAATCACAAATATTGTTACTCTGACTACTCCAGAGGTGCCTGCAAGCTCCACAGATGAATTTTCTTTTACATCTCATGATTCCACAAGTGGTTCAAAAACCTCTCTTCCGAAGAGAACAACAACCTCTACTTTAACCTCTGGGCCTAATCTTAACTCTATTGCTGCAGTGGAAACTACGTTACCAGAAAATTTGCAGGAAAACTTTACAACTTCCATAACATCAGAACATGTTACTACAGGTAGAGAGTCAAGTTCAGAAACAGCAATCACAAATATTGTTAGTATGACTACTCCAAAGGTGACTCCAAGCTCCACAGACATATCTTCTTTCCCATACCATGAAGCTGCAAGTGTTTCAGAAACCGCTGTTCCTAATAAAACAACAACCTCTACTTCAACCCCTGGTCCTAATGTAATTTCTACTGCATCAGAAGAAACTACTTTATCACAAAAGTTGGTGGAAAGTTTTACAACGTCTTTTGCATCCGAACATTCTTCAAGCACTGTAACATCAGATTCAGAAGGCGGTGTAACAAGCTCATCAATTACAAACACTCCATTACAGACAACCACGTTAATCCCTACTAGCACTCCACGGGTTCTCACAAAAGTTGACATTATCTCCATAACCCCTGATGCTACAACTGCTGAGATAACATCTACAATTCAAGAAATCAAAAATTCTACAGCCACTACGTTGGCTGGTATAACACCAGGTTCTACAGATTTTCAAACACCAGTGGAGTCCACAGCATCAATTGCTACAGCTGAGAAACGCACAACAGAAGGTTTCTCAACAACCATTACATCAGAAAAGATACCTACAAGTATTGAGCCAAGTTCAGAAACAGCAATCACAAATATTGTTACTATGAATACTGCAAAGGTGCATGCAAGCTCTACAGATGAATTTTCTTTTACAACTCATGATGCCACAAGTGCTTTAGAACCCTCTCTTTCCAAAAGACCAACAACCTCTACTTTAACCCCTGGGTCTAATGTTATCTCTACTGCTGCAGAGGAAACTACGTCACCAGACAATTCGCAGGAAAACTTTACAACCTCCATAGCCTCAGAACATATTTCAAGCCATGTAACATCAGATTCAGAAGTGGGTGTAACAAGTTCTTCTATTACAAACACTCCATTACAGACAAACACTTTAAACAATACTAGTACATTAGACGTTCTCACAAAATTTGAAAGTACCTCTATACCCCCTGATACCACAGCTGCTGAGGTAACATCTACAATTCAAGAAAATAAAAATGTTACAGCCACCACTTTGGCTGGTATAACATCAGGTTCTATAGAATCTCAAACATCAGTGGAGTCCACCACATCAATTGCTACAGCTGAGATGCACACAACGGAAGGTTTCTCAACAACCAGTACATCAGAGCAGGTTTCTACAAGTAGTGAGTCTAGTTCAGCAACAGCAATCACAAATATTGTTACTATGACTACTCCAGAGGTGCCTGCAAGCTCCACAGATGAATTTTCTTTTACCTCTCATGATTCCACAAGTGGTTCAAAAACCTCTCTTCCAAAGAGAACAACAACCTCTACTTTAACCTCTGGGTCTAATGTTATCTCTACTGCTGCAGAGGAAACTACGTCACCAGACAATTCGCAGGAAAACTTTACAACCTCCATAGCCTCAGAACATATTTCAAGCCATGTAACATCAGATTCAGAAGTGGGTGTAACAAGTTCTTCTATTACAAACACTCCATTACAGACAAACACTTTAAACAATACTAGTACATTAGACGTTCTCACAAAATTTGAAAGTACCTCTATACCCCATGATACCACAGCTGCTGAGGTAACATCTACAATTCAAGAAAATAAAAATGTTACAGCCACCACTTTGGCTGGTATAACATCAGGTTCTATAGAATCTCAAACATCAGTGGAGTCCACCACACCAATTGCTACAGCTGAGATGCACACAACGGAAGGTTTCTCAACAACCAGTACATCAGAGCAGGTTTCTACAAGTAGTGAGTCTAGTTCAGCAACAGCAATCACAAATATTGTTAGTATGACTACTCCAAAGGTGACTCCAAGTTCCACAGACATATCTTCTTTCCCATCCCATGAAGCTGCAAGTGTTTCAGAAACCGCTGTTCCTAATAAAACAAAAACCTCTACTTCAACCCCTGGTCCTAATGTAATTTCTACTGCATCAGAAGAAACTACTTTATCACAAAAGTTGGTGGAAAGTTTTACAACGTCTTTTGCATCCGAACATTCTTCAAGCACTGTAACATCAGATTCAGAAGGCGGTGTAACAAGCTCATCAATTACAAACACTCCATTACAGACAACCACGTTAATCCCTACTAGCACACCACGGGTTCTCACAAAAGTTGACATTATCTCCATACCCCCTGATGCTACAACTGCTGAGATAACATCTACAATTCAAGAAATCAAAAATTCTACAGCCACCACGTTGGCTGGTATAACACCAGGTTCTACAGATTCTCAAACACCAGTGGAGTCCACAGCATCAATTGCTACAGCTGAGAAACGCACAACGGAAGGTTTCTCAACAACCATTACATCAGAAAAGATACCTACAAGTATTGAACCAAGTTCAGAAACAGCAATCACAAATATTGTTACTATGAATACTGCAAAGGTGCATGCAAGCTCTACAGATGAATTTTCTTTTACAACTCATGATGCCACAAGTGCTTTAGAACCCTCTCTTTCCAAAAGACCAACAACCTCTACTTTAACCCCTGGGTCTAATGTTATCTCTACTGCTGCAGAGGAAACTACGTCACCAGACAATTCGCAGGAAAACTTTACAACCTCCATAGCCTCAGAACATATTTCAAGCCATGTAACATCAGATTCAGAAGTGGGTGTAACAAGTTCTTTTCTTACAAACACACCATTACAGACAAACACTTTAAACAATACTAGTACATTAGACGTTCTCACAAAATTTGAAAGTACCTCTATACCCCCTGATACCACAGCTGCTGAGGTAACATCTACAATTCAAGAAAATAAAAATGTTACAGCCACCACTTTGGCTGGTATAACATCAGGTTCTATAGAATCTCAAACATCAGTGGAGTCCACCACATCAATTGCTACAGCTGAGATGCACACAACGGAAGGTTTCTCAACAACCAGTACATCAGAGCAGGTTTCTACAAGTAGTGAGTCTAGTTCAGCAACAGCAATCACAAATATTGTTACTATGACTACTCCAGAGGTGCCTGCAAGCTCCACAGATGCATTTTCTTTTACCTCTCATGATTCCACAAGTGGTTCAAAAACCTCTCTTCCAAAGAGAACAACAACCTCTACTTTAACCTCTGGGTCTAATGTTATCTCTACTGCTGCAGAGGAAACTACGTCACCAGACAATTCGCAGGAAAACTTTACAACCTCCATAGCCTCAGAACATATTTCAAGCCATGTAACATCAGATTCAGAAGTGGGTGTAACAAGTTCTTCTATTACAAACACTCCATTACAGACAAACACTTTAAACAATACTAGTACATTAGACGTTCTCACAAAATTTGAAAGTACCTCTATACCCCCTGATACCACAGCTGCTGAGGTAACATCTACAATTCAAGAAAATAAAAATGTTACAGCCACCACTTTGGCTGGTATAACATCAGGTTCTATAGAATCTCAAACATCAGTGGAGTCCACCACACCAATTGCTACAGCTGAGATGCACACAACGGAAGGTTTCTCAACAACCAGTACATCAGAGCAGGTTTCTACAAGTAGTGAGTCTAGTTCAGCAACAGCAATCACAAATATTGTTAGTATGACTACTCCAAAGGTGACTCCAAGTTCCACAGACATATCTTCTTTCCCATCCCATGAAGCTGCAAGTGTTTCAGAAACCGCTGTTCCTAATAAAACAAAAACCTCTACTTCAACCCCTGGTCCTAATGTAATTTCTACTGCATCAGAAGAAACTACTTTATCACAAAAGTTGGTGGAAAGTTTTACAACGTCTTTTGCATCCGAACATTCTTCAAGCACTGTAACATCAGATTCAGAAGGCGGTGTAACAAGCTCATCAATTACAAACACTCCATTACAGACAACCACGTTAATCCCTACTAGCACACCACGGGTTCTCACAAAAGTTGACATTATCTCCATACCCCCTGATGCTACAACTGCTGAGATAACATCTACAATTCAAGAAATCAAAAATTCTACAGCCACCACGTTGGCTGGTATAACACCAGGATCTACAGATTCTCAAACACCAGTGGAGTCCACAGCATCAATTGCTACAGCTGAGAAACGCACAACAGAAGGTTTCTCAACAACCATTACATCAGAAAAGATACCTACAAGTATTGAGCCAAGTTCAGAAACAGCAATCACAAATATTGTTACTATGAATACTGCAAAGGTGCATGCAAGCTCTACAGATGAATTTTCTTTTACAACTCATGATGCCACAAGTGCTTTAGAACCCTCTCTTTCCAAAAGACCAACAACCTCTATTTTAACCCCTGGGTCTAATGTTATCTCTACTGCTGCAGAGGAAACTACGTCACCAGACAATTCGCAGGAAAACTTTACAACCTCCATAGCCTCAGAACATATTTCAACCCATGTAACATCAGATTCAGAAGTGGGTGTAACAAATTCTTCTATTACAAACACTCCATTTCAGACAAACACTTTAAACAATACTAGTACATTAGACGTTCTCACAAAATTTGAAAGTACCTCTATACCCCCTGGTACCACAGCTGCTGAGGTAACATCTACAATTCAAGAAATTAAAAATGTTACAGCCACCACTTTGGCTGGTATAACATCAGATTCTATAGAATCTCAAACATCAGTGGAGTCCACCACATCAATTGCTACAGCTGAGATGCACACAACGGAAGGTTTCTCAACAATCATTACATCAGAGCAGGTTTCTACAAGAAGTGAGTCTAGTTCAGCAACAGCAATCACAAATATTGTTACTATGACTACTCCAGAGGTGCCTGCAAGCTCCACAGATGAATTTTCGTTTACATCTCATGATTCCACAAGTGGTTCAAAAACCTCTCTTCCGAAGAGAACAACAACCTCTACTTTAACCTCTGGGCCTAATCTTATCTCTATTGCTGCAGTGGAAACTACGTTACCAGAAAATTTGCAGGAAAACTTTACAACTTCCATAACATCAGAACATGTTACTACAGATAGAGAGTCAAGTTCAGAAACAGCAATCACAGATATTGTTAGTATGACTACTCCAAAGGTGACTCCAAGCTCCACAGACATATCTTCTTTCCCATCCCATGAAGCTGCAAGTGTTTCAGAAACCGCTGTTCCTAATAAAACAACAACCTCTACTTCAACCCCTGGTCCTAATGTAATTTCTACTGCATCAGAAGAAACTACTTTATCACAAAAGTTGGTGGAAAGTTTTACAACGTCTTTTGCATCCGAACATTCTTCAAGCACTGTAACATCAGATTCAGAAGGCGGTGTAATAAGCTCATCAATTACAAACACTCCATTACAGACAACCACGTTAATCCCTACTAGCACACCACGGGTTCTCACAAAAGTTGACATTATCTCCATACCCCCTGATGCTACAACTGCTGAGATAACATCTACAATTCAAGAAATCAAAAATTCTACAGCCACCACGTTGGCTGGTATAACACCAGGTTCTACAGATTCTCAAACACCAGTGGAGTCCACAGCATCAATTGCTACAGCTGAGAAACGCACAACGGAAGGTTTCTCAACAACCATTACATCAGAAAAGATACCTATAAGTATTGAGCCAAGTTCAGAAACAGCAATCACAAATATTGTTACTATGAATACTGCAAAGGTGCATGCAAGCTCTACAGATGAATTTTCTTTTACAACTCATGATGCCACAAGTGCTTTAGAACCCTCTCTTTCCAAAAGACCAACAACCTCTACTTTAACCCCTGGGTCTAATGTTATCTCTACTGCTGCAGAGGAAACTACGTCACCAGACAATTCGCAGGAAAACTTTACAACCTCCATAGCCTTAGAACATATTTCAAGCCATGTAACATCAGATTCAGAAGTGGGTGTAACAAGTTCTTCTATTACAAACACTCCATTACAGACAAACACTTTAAACAATACTAGTACATTAGACGTTCTCACAAAATTTGAAAGTACCTCTATACCCCCTGATACCACAGCTGCTGAGGTAACATCTACAATTCAAGAAATTAAAAATGTTACAGCCACCACTTTGGCTGGTATAACATCAGGTTCTATAGAATCTCAAACATCAGTGGAGTCCACCACATCAATTGCTACAGCTGAGATGCACACAACGGAAGGTTTCTCAACAACCATTACATCAGAGCAGGTTTCTACAAGAAGTGAGTCTAGTTCAGCAACAGCAATCACAAATATTGTTACTATGACTACTCCAGAGGTGCCTGCAAGCTCCACAGATGAATTTTCTTTTACATCTCATGATTCCACAAGTGGTTCAAAAACCTCTCTTCCGAAGAGAACAACAACCTCTACTTTAACCTCTGGGCCTAATCTTAACTCTATTGCTGCAGTGGAAACTACGTTACCAGAAAATTTGCAGGAAAACTTTACAACTTCCATAACATCAGAACATGTTACTACAGGTAGAGAGTCAAGTTCAGAAACAGCAATCACAAATATTGTTAGTATGACTACTCCAAAGGTGACTCCAAGCTCCACAGACATATCTTCTTTCCCATCCCATGAAGCTGCAAGTGTTTCAGAAACCGCTGTTCCTAATAAAACAACAACCTCTACTTCAACCCCTGGTCCTAATGTAATTTCTACTGCATCAGAAGAAACTACTTTATCACAAAAGTTGGTGGAAAGTTTTACAACGTCTTTTGCATCCGAACATTCTTCAAGCACTGTAACATCAGATTCAGAAGGCGGTGTAACAAGCTCATCAATTACAAACACTCCATTACAGACAACCACGTTAATCCCTACTAGCACACCATGGGTTCTCACAAAAGTTGACATTATCTCCATACCCCCTGATGCTACAATTGCTGAGATAACATCTACAATTCAAGAAATCAAAAATTCTACAGCCACCACGTTGGCTGGTATAACACCAGGTTCTACAGATTCTCAAACACCAGTGGAGTCCACAGCATCAATTGCTACAGCTGAGAAACGCACAACGGAAGGTTTCTCAACAACCATTACATCAGAAAAGATACCTACAAGTATTGAACCAAGTTCAGAAACAGCAATCACAAATATTGTTACTATGAATACTGCAAAGGTGCATGCAAGCTCTACAGATGAATTTTCTTTTACAACTCATGATGCCACAAGTGCTTTAGAACCCTCTCTTTCCAAAAGACCAACAACCTCTACTTTAACCCCTGGGTCTAATGTTATCTCTACTGCTGCAGAGGAAACTACGTCACCAGACAATTCGCAGGAAAACTTTACAACCTCCATAGCCTCAGAACATATTTCAAGCCATGTAACATCAGATTCAGAAGTGGGTGTAACAAGTTCTTCTATTACAAACACTCCATTACAGACAAACACTTTAAACAATACTAGTACATTAGACGTTCTCACAAAATTTGAAAGTACCTCTATACCCCCTGATACCACAGCTGCTGAGGTAACATCTACAATTCAAGAAATTAAAAATGTTACAGCCACCACTTTGGCTGGTATAACATCAGGTTCTATAGAATCTCAAACATCAGTGGAGTCCACCACATCAATTGCTACAGCTGAGATGCACACAACGGAAGGTTTCTCAACAACCATTACATCAGAGCAGGTTTCTACAAGAAGTGAGTCTAGTTCAGCAACAGCAATCACAAATATTGTTACTATGACTACTCCAGAGGTGCCTGCAAGCTCCACAGATGAATTTTCTTTTACATCTCATGATTCCACAAGTGGTTCAAAAACCTCTCTTCCAAAGAGAACAACAACCTCTACTTTAACCTCTGGGCCTAATCTTAACTCTATTGCTGCAGTGGAAACTACGTTACCAGAAAATTTGCAGGAAAACTTTACAACTTCCATAACATCAGAACATGTTACTACAGGTAGAGAGTCAAGTTCAGAAACAGCAATCACAAATATTGTTAGTATGACTACTCCAAAGGAGACTCCAAGCTCCACAGACATATCTTCTTTCCCATCCCATGAAGCTGCAAGTGTTTCAGAAACCGCTGTTCCTAATAAAACAACAACCTCTACTTCAACCCCTGGTCCTAATGTAATTTCTACTGCATCAGAAGAAACTACTTTATCACAAAAGTTGGTGGAAAGTTTTACAACGTCTTTTGCATCCGAACATTCTTCAAGCACTGTAACATCAGATTCAGAAGGCGGTGTAACAAGCTCATCAATTACAAACACTCCATTACAGACAACCACGTTAATCCCTACTAGCACACCACGGGTTCTCACAAAAGTTGACATTATCTCCATACCCCCTGATGCTACAACTGCTGAGATAACATCTACAATTCAAGAAATCAAAAATTCTACAGCCACCACGTTGGCTGGTATAACACCAGGATCTACAGATTCTCAAACACCAGTGGAGTCCACAGCATCAATTGCTACAGCTGAGAAACGCACAACGGAAGGTTTCTCAACAACCATTACATCAGAAAAGATACCTACAAGTATTGAGCCAAGTTCAGAAACAGCAATCACAAATATTGTTACTATGAATACTGCAAAGGTGCATGCAAGCTCTACAGATGAATTTTCTTTTACAACTCATGATGCCACAAGTGCTTTAGAACCCTCTCTTTCCAAAAGACCAACAACCTCTACTTTAACCCCTGGGTCTAATGTTATCTCTACTGCTGCAGAGGAAACTACGTCACCAGACAATTTGCAGGAAAACTTTACAACCTCCATAGCCTCAGAACATATTTCAACCCATGTAACATCAGATTCAGAAGTGGGTGTAACAAATTCTTCTATTACAAACACTCCATTTCAGACAAACACTTTAAACAATACTAGTACATTAGACGTTCTCACAAAATTTGAAAGTACCTCTATACCCCCTGATACCACAGCTGCTGAGGTAACATCTACAATTCAAGAAATTAAAAATGTTACAGCCACCACTTTGGCTGGTATAACATCAGGTTCTATAGAATCTCAAACATCAGTGGAGTCCACCACATCAATTGCTACAGCTGAGATGCACACAACGGAAGGTTTCTCAACAACCATTACATCAGAGCAGGTTTCTACAAGAAGTGAGTCTAGTTCAGCAACAGCAATCACAAATATTGTTACTATGACTACTCCAGAGGTGCCTGCAAGCTCCACAGATGAATTTTCTTTTACATCTCATGATTCCACAAGTGGTTCAAAAACCTCTCTTCCGAAGAGAACAACAACCTCTACTTTAACCTCTGGGCCTAATCTTAACTCTATTGCTGCAGTGGAAACTACGTTACCAGAAAATTTGCAGGAAAACTTTACAACTTCCATAACATCAGAACATGTTACTACAGGTAGAGAGTCAAGTTCAGAAACAGCAATCACAAATATTGTTAGTATGACTACTCCAAAGGTGACTCCAAGCTCCACAGACATATCTTCTTTCCCATCCCATGAAGCTGCAAGTGTTTCAGAAACCGCTGTTCCTAATAAAACAACAACCTCTACTTCAACCCCTGGTCCTAATGTAATTTCTACTGCATCAGAAGAAACTACTTTATCACAAAAGTTGGTGGAAAGTTTTACAACATCTTTTGCATCCGAACATTCTTCAAGCACTGTAACATCAGATTCAGAAGGCGGTGTAACAAGCTCATCAATTACAAACACTCCATTACAGACAACCACGTTAATCCCTACTAGCACACCATGGGTTCTCACAAAAGTTGACATTATCTCCATACCCCCTGATGCTACAACTGCTGAGATAACATCTACAATTCAAGAAATCAAAAATTCTACAGCCACCACGTTGGCTGGTATAACACCAGGATCTACAGATTCTCAAACACCAGTGGAGTCCACAGCATCAATTGCTACAGCTGAGAAACACACAACGGAAGGTTTCTCAACAACCATTACATCAGAAAAGATACCTACAAGTATTGAGCCAAGTTCAGAAACAGCAATCACAAATATTGTTACTATGAATACTGCAAAGGTGCATGCAAGCTCTACAGATGAATTTTCTTTTACAACTCATGATGCCACAAGTGCTTTAGAACCCTCTCTTTCCAAAAGACCAACAACCTCTACTTTAACCCCTGGGTCTAATGTTATCTCTACTGCTGCAGAGGAAACTACGTCACCAGACAATTTGCAGGAAAACTTTACAACCTCCATAGCCTCAGAACATATTTCAACCCATGTAACATCAGATTCAGAAGTGGGTGTAACAAATTCTTCTATTACAAACACTCCATTTCAGACAAACACTTTAAACAATACTAGTACATTAGACGTTCTCACAAAATTTGAAAGTACCTCCATACCCCCTGATACCACAGCTGCTGAGGTAACATCTACAATTCAAGAAATTAAAAATGTTACAGCCACTACTTTGGCTGGTATAACATCAGGTTCTATAGAATCTCAAACATCAGTGGAGTCCACCACATCAATTGCTACAGCTGAGATGCACACAACGGAAGGTTTCTCAACAACCATTACATCAGAGCAGGTTTCTACAAGAAGTGAGTCTAGTTCAGCAACAGCAATCACAAATATTGCTACTATGACTACTCCAGAGGTGCCTGCAAGCTCCACAGATGAATTTTCTTTTACATCTCATGATTCCACAAGTGGTTCAAAAACCTCTCTTCCGAAGAGAACAACAACCTCTACTTTAACCTCTGGGCCTAATCTTAACTCTATTGCTGCAGTGGAAACTACGTTACCAGAAAATTTGCAGGAAAACTTTACAACTTCCATAACATCAGAACATGTTACTACAGGTAGAGAGTCAAGTTCAGAAACAGCAATCACAAATATTGTTAGTATGACTACTCCAAAGGTGACTCCAAGCTCCACAGACATATCTTCTTTCCCATCCCATGAAGCTGCAAGTGTTTCAGAAACCGCTGTTCCTAATAAAACAACAACCTCTACTTCAACCCCTGGTCCTAATGTAATTTCTACTGCATCAGAAGAAACTACTTTATCACAAAAGTTGGTGGAAAGTTTTACAACGTCTTTTGCATCCGAACATTCTTCAAGCACTGTAACATCAGATTCAGAAGGCGGTGTAACAAGCTCATCAATTACAAACACTCCATTACAGACAACCACGTTAATCCCTACTAGCACACCACGGGTTCTCACAAAAGTTGACATTATCTCCATACCCCCTGATGCTACAACTGCTGAGATAACATCTACAATTCAAGAAATCAAAAATTCTACAGCCACCACGTTGGCTGGTATAACACCAGGATCTACAGATTCTCAAACACCAGTGGAGTCCACAGCATCAATTGCTACAGCTGAGAAACGCACAACGGAAGGTTTCTCAACAACCATTACATCAGAAAAGATACCTACAAGTATTGAACCAAGTTCAGAAACAGCAATCACAAATATTGTTACTATGAATACTGCAAAGGTGCATGCAAGCACAAGGTGCATGCAAGCTCTACAGATGAATTTTCTTTTACAACTCATGATGCCACAAGTGCTTTAGAACCCTCTCTTTCCAAAAGACCAACAACCTCTACTTTAACCCCTGGGTCTAATGTTATCTCTACTGCTGCAGAGGAAACTACGTCACCAGACAATTCGCAGGAAAACTTTACAACCTCCATAGCCTCAGAACATATTTCAACCCATGTAACATCAGATTCAGAAGTGGGTGTAACAAGTTCTTCTATTACAAACACTCCATTACAGACAAACACTTTAAACAATACTAGTACATTAGACGTTCTCACAAAATTTGAAAGTACCTCTATACCCCCTGATACCACAGCTGCTGAGGTAACATCTACAATTCAAGAAATTAAAAATGTTACAGCCACCACTTTGGCTGGTATAACATCAGGTTCTATAGAATCTCAAACATCAGTGGAGTCCACCACATCAATTGCTACAGCTGAGATGCACACAACGGAAGGTTTCTCAACAACCATTACATCAGAGCAGGTTTCTACAAGTAGTGAGTCTAGTTCAGCAACAGCAATCACAAATATTGTTACTATGACTACTCCAGAGGTGCCTGCAAGCTCCACAGATGAATTTTCTTTTACATCTCATGATTCCACAAGTGGTTCAAAAACCTCTCTTCCAAAGAGAACAACAACCTCTACTTTAACCTCTGGGCCTAATCTTAACTCTATTGCTGCAGTGGAAACTACGTTACCAGAAAATTTGCAGGAAAACTTTACAACTTCCATAACATCAGAACATGTTACTACAGGTAGAGAGTCAAGTTCAGAAACAGCAATCACAAATATTGTTAGTATGACTACTCCAAAGGTGACTCCAAGCTCCACAGACATATCTTCTTTCCCATCCCATGAAGCTGCAAGTGTTTCAGAAACCGCTGTTCCTAATAAAACAACAACCTCTACTTCAACCCCTGGTCCTAATGTAATTTCTACTGCATCAGAAGAAACTACTTTATCACAAAAGTTGGTGGAAAGTTTTACAACGTCTTTTGCATCCGAACATTCTTCAAGCACTGTAACATCAGATTCAGAAGGCGGTGTAACAAGCTCATCAATTACAAACACTCCATTACAGACAACCACGTTAATCCCTACTAGCACACCACGGGTTCTCACAAAAGTTGACATTATCTCCATACCCCCTGATGCTACAATTGCTGAGATAACATCTACAATTCAAGAAATCAAAAATTCTACAGCCACCACGTTGGCTGGTATAACACCAGGATCTACAGATTCTCAAACACCAGTGGAGTCCACAGCATCAATTGCTACAGCTGAGAAACGCACAACGGAAGGTTTCTCAACAACCATTACATCAGAAAAGATACCTACAAGTATTGAACCAAGTTCAGAAACAGCAATCACAAATATTGTTACTATGAATACTGCAAAGGTGCATGCAAGCTCTACAGATGAATTTTCTTTTACAACTCATGATGCCACAAGTGCTTTAGAACCCTCTCTTTCCAAAAGACCAACAACCTCTACTTTAACCCCTGGGTCTAATGTTATCTCTACTGCTGCAGAGGAAACTACGTCACCAGACAATTTGCAGGAAAACTTTACAACCTCCATAGCCTCAGAACATATTTCAACCCATGTAACATCAGATTCAGAAGTGGGTGTAACAAATTCTTCTATTACAAACACTCCATTTCAGACAAACACTTTAAACAATACTAGTACATTAGACGTTCTCACAAAATTTGAAAGTACCTCTATACCCCCTGATACCACAGCTGCTGAGGTAACATCTACAATTCAAGAAATTAAAAATGTTACAGCCACCACTTTGGCTGGTATAACATCAGGTTCTATAGAATCTCAAACATCAGTGGAGTCCACCACATCAATTGCTACAGCTGAGATGCACACAACGGAAGGTTTCTCAACAACCATTACATCAGAGCAGGTTTCTACAAGTAGTGAGTCTAGTTCAGCAACAGCAATCACAAATATTGTTACTATGACTACTCCAGAGGTGCCTGCAAGCTCCACAGATGAATTTTCTTTTACATCTCATGATTCCACAAGTGGTTCAAAAACCTCTCTTCCGAAGAGAACAACAACCTCTACTTTAACCTCTGGGCCTAATCTTAACTCTATTGCTGCAGTGGAAACTACGTTACCAGAAAATTTGCAGGAAAACTTTACAACTTCCATAACATCAGAACATGTTACTACAGGTAGAGAGTCAAGTTCAGAAACAGCAATCACAAATATTGTTAGTATGACTACTCCAAAGGTGACTCCAAGCTCCACAGACATATCTTCTTTCCCATCCCATGAAGCTGCAAGTGTTTCAGAAACCGCTGTTCCTAATAAAACAACAACCTCTACTTCAACCCCTGGTCCTAATGTAATTTCTACTGCATCAGAAGAAACTACTTTATCACAAAAGTTGGTGGAAAGTTTTACAACGTCTTTTGCATCCGAACATTCTTCAAGCACTGTAACATCAGATTCAGAAGGCGGTGTAACAAGCTCATCAATTACAAACACTCCATTACAGACAACCACGTTAATCCCTACTAGCACACCACGGGTTCTCACAAAAGTTGACATTATCTCCATACCCCCTGATGCTACAATTGCTGAGATAACATCTACAATTCAAGAAATCAAAAATTCTACAGCCACCACGTTGGCTGGTATAACACCAGGTTCTACAGATTCTCAAACACCAGTGGAGTCCACAGCATCAATTGCTACAGCTGAGAAACGCACAACGGAAGGTTTCTCAACAACCATTACATCAGAAAAGATACCTACAAGTATTGAGCCAAGTTCAGAAACAGCAATCACAAATATTGTTACTATGAATACTGCAAAGGTGCATGCAAGCTCTACAGATGAATTTTCTTTTACAACTCATGATGCCACAAGTGCTTTAGAACCCTCTCTTTCCAAAAGACCAACAACCTCTACTTTAACCCCTGGGTCTAATGTTATCTCTACTGCTGCAGAGGAAACTACGTCACCAGACAATTCGCAGGAAAACTTTACAACCTCCATAGCCTCAGAACATATTTCAAGCCATGTAACATCAGATTCAGAAGTGGGTGTAACAAGTTCTTCTATTACAAACACTCCATTACAGACAAACACTTTAAACAATACTAGTACATTAGACGTTCTCACAAAATTTGAAAGTACCTCTATACCCCCTGATACCACAGCTGCTGAGGTAACATCTACAATTCAAGAAATTAAAAATGTTACAGCCACCACTTTGGCTGGTATAACATCAGGTTCTATAGAATCTCAAACATCAGTGGAGTCCACCACATCAATTGCTACAGCTGAGATGCACACAACGGAAGGTTTCTCAACAACCATTACATCAGAGCAGGTTTCTACAAGAAGTGAGTCTAGTTCAGCAACAGCAATCACAAATATTGTTACTATGACTACTCCAGAGGTGCCTGCAAGCTCCACAGATGAATTTTCTTTTACCTCTCATGATTCCACAAGTGGTTCAAAAACCTTTCTTCCAAAGAGAACAACAACCTCTACTTTAACCTCTGGGCCTAATCTTAACTCTATTGCTGCAGTGGAAACTACGTTACCAGAAAATTTGCAGGAAAACTTTACAACTTCCATAACATCAGAACATGTTACAACAGGTAGAGAGTCAAGTTCAGAAACAGCAATCACAAATATTGTTAGTATGACTACTCCAAAGGTGACTCCAAGCTCCACAGACATATCTTCTTTCCCATCCCATGAAGCTGCAAGTGTTTCAGAAACCGCTGTTCCTAATAAAACAACAACCTCTACTTCAACCCCTGGTCCTAATGTAATTTCTACTGCATCAGAAGAAACTACTTTATCACAAAAGTTGGTGGAAAGTTTTACAACGTCTTTTGCATCCGAACATTCTTCAAGCACTGTAACATCAGATTCAGAAGGCGGTGTAACAAGCTCATCAATTACAAACACTCCATTACAGACAACCACGTTAATCCCTACTAGCACACCACGGGTTCTCACAAAAGTGGACATTATCTCCATACCCCCTGATGCTACAACTGCTGAGATAACATCTACAATTCAAGAAATCAAAAATTCTACAGCCACCACGTTGGCTGGTATAACACCAGGATCTACAGATTCTCAAACACCAGTGGAGTCCACAGCATCAATTGCTACAGCTGAGAAACACACAACGGAAGGTTTCTCAACAACCATTACATCAGAAAAGATACCTACAAGTATTGAGCCAAGTTCAGAAACAGCAATCACAAATATTGTTACTATGAATACTGCAAAGGTGCATGCAAGCTCTACAGATGAATTTTCTTTTACAACTCATGATGCCACAAGTGCTTTAGAACCCTCTCTTTCCAAAAGACCAACAACCTCTACTTTAACCCCTGGTTCTAATGTTATCTCTACTTCTGCAGAGGAAACTACGTCACCAGACAATTCGCAGGAAAACTTTACAACCTCCAAAGCCTCAGAACATATTTCAACCCATGTAACATCAGATTCAGAAGTGGGTGTAACAAATTCTTCTATTACAAACACTCCATTTCAGACAAACACTTTAAACAATGCTAGTACATTAGACGTTCTCACAAAATTTGAAAGTACCTCTATACCCCCTGGTACCACAGCTGCTGAGGTAACATCTACAATTCAAGAAATTAAAAATGTTACAGCCACCACTTTGGCTGGTATAACATCAGGTTCTATAGAATCTCAAACATCAGTGGAGTCCACCACATCAATTGCTACAGCTGAGATGCACACAACGGAAGGTTTCTCAACAATCATTACATCAGAGCAGGTTTCTACAAGAAGTGAGTCTAGTTCAGCAAGAGCAATCACAAATATTGTTACTATGACTACTCCAGAGGTGCCTGCAAGCTCCACAGATGAATTTTCTTTTACATCTCATGATTCCACAAGTGGTTCAAAAACCTCTCTTCCGAAGAGAACAACAACCTCTACTTTAACCTCTGGGCCTAATATTAACTCTATTGCTGAAGTGGAAACTACGTTACCAGAAAATTTGCAGGAAAACTTTACAACTTCCATAACATCAGAACATGTTACTACAGGTAGAGAGTCAAGTTCAGAAACAGCAATCACAAATATTGTTAGTATGACTACTCCAAAGGATACTCCAAGCTCCACAGACATATCTTCTTTCCCATCCCATGAAGCTGCAAGTGTTTCAGAAACCGCTGTTCCTAATAAAACAACAACCTCTACTTCAACCCCTGGTCCTAATGTAATTTCTACTGCATCAGAAGAAACTACTTTATCACAAAAGTTGGTGGAAAGTTTTACAACGTCTTTTGCATCCGAACATTCTTCAAGCACTGTAACATCAGATTCAGAAGGCGGTGTAACAAGCTCATCAATTACAAACACTCCATTACAGACAACCACGTTAATCCCTACTAGCACACCCCGGGTTCTCACAAAAGTTGACATTATCTCCATACCCCCTGATGCTACAACTGCTGAGATAACATCTACAATTCAAGAAATCAAAAATTCTACAGCCACCACGTTGGCTGGTATAACACCAGGTTCTACAGATTCTCAAACACCAGTGGAGTCCAGAGCATCAATTGCTACAGCTGAGAAACGCACAACGGAAGGTTTCTCAACAACCATTACATCAGAAAAGATACCTACAAGTATTGAACCAAGTTCAGAAACAGCAATCACAAATATTGTTACTATGAATACTGCAAAGGTGCATGCAAGCTCTACAGATGAATTTTCTTTTACAACTCATGATGCCACAAGTGCTTTAGAACCCTCTCTTTCCAAAAGACCAACAACCTCTACTTTAACCCCTGGGTCTAATGTTATCTCTACTGCTGCAGAGGAAACTACGTCACCAGACAATTCGCAGGAAAACTTTACAACCTCCATAGCCTCAGAACATATTTCAAGCCATGTAACATCAGATTCAGAAGTGGGTGTAACAAGTTCTTCTATTACAAACACTCCATTACAGACAAACACTTTAAACAATACTAGTACATTAGACGTTCTCACAAAATTTGAAAGTACCTCTATACCCCATGATACCACAGCTGCTGAGGTAACATCTACAATTCAAGAAAATAAAAATGTTACAGCCACCACTTTGGCTGGTATAACATCAGGTTCTATAGAATCTCAAACATCAGTGGAGTCCACCACATCAATTGCTACAGCTGAGATGCACACAACGGAAGGTTTCTCAACAACCAGTACATCAGAGCAGGTTTCTACAAGTAGTGAGTCTAGTTCAGCAACAGCAATCACAAATATTGTTACTATGACTACTCCAGAGGTGCCTGCAAGCTCCACAGATGAATTTTCTTTTACCTCTCATGATTCCACAAGTGGTTCAAAAACCTCTCTTCCAAAGAGAACAACAACCTCTACTTTAACCTCTGGGTCTAATGTTATCTCTACTGCTGCAGAGGAAACTACGTCACCAGACAATTCGCAGGAAAACTTTACAACCTCCATAGCCTCAGAACATATTTCAAGCCATGTAACATCAGATTCAGAAGTGGGTGTAACAAGTTCTTCTATTACAAACACTCCATTACAGACAAACACTTTAAACAATACTAGTACATTAGACGTTCTCACAAAATTTGAAAGTACCTCTATACCCCCTGATACCACAGCTGCTGAGGTAACATCTACAATTCAAGAAAATAAAAATGTTACAGCCACCACTTTGGCTGGTATAACATCAGGTTCTATAGAATCTCAAACATCAGTGGAGTCCACCACACCAATTGCTACAGCTGAGATGCACACAACGGAAGGTTTCTCAACAACCAGTACATCAGAGCAGGTTTCTACAAGTAGTGAGTCTAGTTCAGCAACAGCAATCACAAATATTGTTACTATGACTACTCCAGAGGTGCCTGCAAGCTCCACAGATGAATTTTCTTTTACCTCTCATGATTCCACAAGTGGTTCAAAAACCTCTCTTCCAAAGAGAACAACAACCTCTACTTTAACCTCTGGGCCTAATCTTAACTCTATTGCTGCAGTGGAAACTACGTTACCAGAAAATTTGCAGGAAAACTTTACAACTTCCATAACATCAGAACATGTTACTACAGGTAGAGAGTCAAGTTCAGAAACAGCAATCACAAATATTGTTAGTATGACTACTCCAAAGGTGACTCCAAGCTCCACAGACATATCTTCTTTCCCATCCCATGAAGCTGCAAGTGTTTCAGAAACCGCTGTTCCTAATAAAACAACAACCTCTACTTCAACCCCTGGTCCTAATGTAATTTCTACTGCATCAGAAGAAACTACTTTATCACAAAAGTTGGTGGAAAGTTTTACAACGTCTTTTGCATCCGAACATTCTTCAAGCACTGTAACATCAGATTCAGAAGGCGGTGTAACAAGCTCATCAATTACAAACACTCCATTACAGACAACCACGTTAATCCCTACTAGCACACCATGGGTTCTCACAAAAGTTGACATTATCTCCATACCCCCTGATGCTACAACTGCTGAGATAACATCTACAATTCAAGAAATCAAAAATTCTACAGCCACCACGTTGGCTGGTATAACACCAGGATCTACAGATTCTCAAACACCAGTGGAGTCCACAGCATCAATTGCTACAGCTGAGAAACACACAACGGAAGGTTTCTCAACAACCATTACATCAGAAAAGATACCTACAAGTATTGAGCCAAGTTCAGAAACAGCAATCACAAATATTGTTACTATGAATACTGCAAAGGTGCATGCAAGCTCTACAGATGAATTTTCTTTTACAACTCATGATGCCACAAGTGCTTTAGAACCCTCTCTTTCCAAAAGACCAACAACCTCTACTTTAACCCCTGGGTCTAATGTTATCTCTACTGCTGCAGAGGAAACTACGTCACCAGACAATTTGCAGGAAAACTTTACAACCTCCATAGCCTCAGAACATATTTCAACCCATGTAACATCAGATTCAGAAGTGGGTGTAACAAATTCTTCTATTACAAACACTCCATTTCAGACAAACACTTTAAACAATACTAGTACATTAGACGTTCTCACAAAATTTGAAAGTACCTCTATACCCCCTGATACCACAGCTGCTGAGGTAACATCTACAATTCAAGAAATTAAAAATGTTACAGCCACCACTTTGGCTGGTATAACATCAGGTTCTATAGAATCTCAAACATCAGTGGAGTCCACCACATCAATTGCTACAGCTGAGATGCACACAACGGAAGGTTTCTCAACAACCATTACATCAGAGCAGGTTTCTACAAGAAGTGAGTCTAGTTCAGCAACAGCAATCACAAATATTGTTACTATGACTACTCCAGAGGTGCCTGCAAGCTCCACAGATGAATTTTCTTTTACATCTCATGATTCCACAAGTGGTTCAAAAACCTCTCTTCCGAAGAGAACAACAACCTCTACTTTAACCTCTGGGCCTAATCTTAACTCTATTGCTGCAGTGGAAACTACGTTACCAGAAAATTTGCAGGAAAACTTTATCAGAACTTCCAGTTAACATCAGAACATGTTACTACAGGTAGAGAGTCAAGTTCAGAAACAGCAATCACAAATATTGTTAGTATGACTACTCCAAAGGTGACTCCAAGCTCCACAGACATATCTTCTTTCCCATCCCATGAAGCTGCAAGTGTTTCAGAAACCGCTGTTCCTAATAAAACAACAACCTCTACTTCAACCCCTGGTCCTAATGTAATTTCTACTGCATCAGAAGAAACTACTTTATCACAAAAGTTGGTGGTCTTTTGCATCCGAACATTCTTCAAGCACTGTAACATCAGATTCAGAAGGCGGTGTAACAAGCTCATCAATTACAAACACTCCATTACAGACAACCACGTTAATCCCTACTAGCACACCACGGGTTCTCACAAAAGTAGACATTATCTCCATACCCCCTGATGCTACAACTGCTGAGATAACATCTACAATTCAAGAAATCAAAAATTCTACAGCCACCACGTTGGCTGGTATAACACCAGGTTCTACAGATTCTCAAACACCAGTGGAGTCCACAGCATCAAATGCTACAGCTGAGAAACGCACAACGGAAGGTTTCTCAACAACCATTACATCAGAAAAGATATCTACAAGTATTGAGCCAAGTTCAGAAACAGCAATCACAAATATTGTTACTATGAATACTGCAAAGGTGCATGCAAGCTCTACAGATGAATTTTCTTTTACAACTCATGATGCCACAAGTGCTTTAGAACCCTCTCTTTCCAAAAGACCAACAACCTCTACTTTAACCCCTGGGTCTAATGTTATCTCTACTGCTGCAGAGGAAACTACGTCACCAGACAATTCGCAGGAAGACTTTACAACCTCCACAGCCTCAGAACATATTTCAACCCATGTAACATCAGATTCAGAAGTGGGTGTAACAAGTTCTTCTATTACAAACACTCCATTACAGACAAACACTTTAAACAATACTAGTACATTAGACGTTCTCACAAAATTTGAAAGTACCTCTATACCCCCTGATACCACAGCTGCTGAGGTAACATCTACAATTCAAGAAATTAAAAATGTTACAGCCACCACTTTGGCTGGTATAACATCAGGTTCTATAGAATCTCAAACATCAGTGGAGTCCACCACATCAATTGCTACAGCTGAGATGCACACAACGGAAGGTTTCTCAACAACCATTACATCAGAGCAGGTTTCTACAAGTAGTGAGTCTAGTTCAGCAACAGCAATCACAAATATTGTTACTATGACTACTCCAGAGGTGCCTGCAAGCTCCACAGATGAATTTTCTTTTACATCTTATGATTCCACAAGTGGTTCAAAAACCTCTCTTCTGAAGAGAACAACAACCTCTACTTTAACCTCTGGGCCTAATCTTAACTCTATTGCTGCAGTGGAAACTACGTTACCAGAAAATTTGCAGGAAAACTTTACAACTTCCATAACATCAGAACATGTTACTACAGGTAGAGAGTCAAGTTCAGAAACAGCAATCACAAATATTGTTAGTATGACTACTCCAGAGGTGACTCCAAGCTCCACAGACATATCTTCTTTCCCATCCCATGAAGCTGCAAGTGTTTCAGAAACCGCTGTTCCTAATAAAACAACAACCTCTACTTCAACCCCTGGTCCTAATGTAATTTCTACTGCATCAGAAGAAACTACTTTATCACAAAAGTTGGTGGAAAGTTTTACAACGTCTTTTGCATCCGAACATTCTTCAAGCACTGTAACATCAGATTCAGAAGGCGGTGTAACAAGCTCATCAATTACAAACACTCCATTACAGACAACCACGTTAATCCCTACTAGCACACCACGGGTTCTCACAAAAGTTCACATTATCTCCATACCCCCTGATACTACAACTGCTGAGATAACATCTACAATTCAAGAAATCAAAAATTCTACAGCCACCATGTTGGCTGGTATAACACCAGGTTCTACAGATCCTCAAACACCAGTGGAGTCCACAGCATCAATTGCTACAGCTGAGAAACGCAGAACAATCACTACTTCAATCCCTGAGCCAAATGTTACCTCTTCTGCTACAAAAGTAATGACATCCTTAACAGAAACATTGAATGAAAACTACACAACGTCCATTGCATCAAATAAATCTTCAACCATTGTGAGTGTTGGAAGTTCTCATACTACAAGTTTTCCATTACAGACAACAGCTTCAAGCACTGGTAGTAAACCAGAGGTTTTCCCAATTGTTGAAGTAACCAGAGATTCCACAAATGGTGAGTTTACATTTACAATTTTAAGAATTCCGCATGTTAGATCATCCACTTTGATAACCAGGTTCTGCAGAAATGATTACTTTAAAATACTTTACAAAATCAGTCACTACACCTGAAACACAGACAAGACAATGGAAGGTTTCACAACAATCTTTACTTCAGAAGAGGTTATGAGCAATGCACCATCAATTTTAGCAGGAACAGTTGCAAATTTTATTGCAACCGCTACTAAAATGATAGCAACAATCTTTGCCTCATCTTCCTTGAGGTATGGCTTGAAGGCTGGCTTCCACGGACTCTAGTGAACTGAAGGGTTTTAAGGGGTAGGAGAAGTTGTGCCTATGATGTCCCTTTGAGGGAAAGCAATTCCTTCAAGAGGGAAGTAGGGAGAAGGGGCGGGCTCTGTTTGAGATTAGCAGCGTGGAGAGATGAGAGAAACAGCCAGATTGATTTATTTCAGCAGCTTTGGACACAGAATACGATAATGGAAAGAGAAATAAGATACGTAGTATTTACACAAAGCCAACATTAAGTGTTAGGACTTCCCAAACAGTGGTATGCTTTAGTTTTGTATCTTACAGTAAGTGTAACACCCACATACATTAAAATTTGTGATTTTAAATGGACTTAGGGAAGAAACACGTGTTTACATGCTGTATTTGTCTAGTGGTTCAAATCAGCAATATTGAGTGGTTGAAATCCACAATTTTGGCAAAAAAAAATTGACCTTAGTGTGTAACCCTGCAACTTTTACCACTTATGCTCTTTTCACAGCAACCTCCTACGTAGAAGAACTCAGAGTACAAACTCTCAGCAGATCAGCCAATGAGAGATCTTTGTCAACCAAACTACTGACATCACTCTGCCCACAGCCAATCACTGTATTCGTATTTTCCCCTCTCCCCTTAGCATGGCTTTGTAATACTAGAAAGATACTGAAAGGATAATGATTGGCTGTGTGCCTGAGTCATGCATACAACTTATCTCAAACTGATCTCTTATTGGCTAAGCTCAACTAACGGTGAAAAGGGAAGGGGCAGGGTTATGCTGTAAAAAGCTGCAATTCTAAAGAGACACAATATTAAAGAGACACGATAAAACACCTTAATGTAGTTGTTCTGGTGAGTATTGTCAGTCCCTGCAGGCTTTTTGTTGTAAACACTATCTTTTCAGAGAAAAGACAGAAACCTAGGGACACCTCCAGTGGCCACTCCTCAAATGTTCTGTATTAAGATGCTGAACTTTCCTCATAGAAATGCATTGATTAAATGCATCTCTATGAGGATTCTGATTG